TTTTGGTGAGGGAGTTGTTTGTTTGTTTGTTTGTTTGTTTGTTTGTTTTAATGATTTAGTGGTCATGTTTTCTGGTCCATTTGAAATCCCCATTTGAAATTATATGTTATTTTATAGTAGAAAAACCAGAATAGTAAAGGTATGTCTTTTATAGTAAAGTGTATGTCTTTTGTGTGCCAGGTGCCTTACAAGGAACTTAGTTATTGGCATTATTGTGTAATGAGTTATGAATGGAAGCCTCAGGTTTCCTTGTTAGATTGTTGTGTAGGTGGCATGAGGGAGTGGGAGGTGTGCACCTGAGTACAGGTGCCCTCGGGGGCAGTAGATCCCCTGGAGCTGGAATTAAAGTGTTTGTAAGCTACCTAATGTTCGCACTGGGATTTGATTTGGATCTTCTGCAGTATCAGTAAGTGCTCTTAACTGGTGAGCTAGCTCTCCAGTCACCATTGTTTTTAACAATGTTTATATGAAGTCTTTGATTATTTGTTCTGTATGACAAATCCACATATAAATATAAGAACTTATGCCAGTTTCCAAACATTTGCTGCACCTGGCTTTATATGTTAAGGACATTTTTAGTGTGTATTTGTAACTTCTCTGAGGTTAAAATACAGTTTTCAGAAGCACTCTGCAATGTGTCATTTTTGTCTTCTGTATGTAAACACCCTTTTCATGATGCTTTCTGCTAAGAATGGAGTAAAACATAAGACACTGGGGAAGACCAATGTTTTCAGTTCAACAGTCAATCAGGAGTCCTTGGCCTGAGCATATAGTTGTCTCCTACTATGTCCTCATGTGTAGAAGGGAGTGCATAGATAGATTGCTTTTTTAGAGGGGAGAGGGTCTTATGGGATGGGCATATAATTGTATAACAAGTTGCCAGTCATGCTGTCGGTACCTGAGAGATGATAGATGTTGTTTTTAATTTTAAGGACATTTTTTTTAAGTCTATGTTTCAATATTTGGTAATTTTCCATCTTTTTATTCTGAAAAATTATATTCCCATATAAAATTAATTAATTTGGAGAAAAGTATTCATAAATGTTACCATTATGGGTAGCTAGCGGTGAGCTGTACATAATGTACTCATTTATGTTGCTTTCAAATTTCTCAGTGTAATCACATCTCTGGTTATATTTACTGATTGGACTACATTTTGTTATTGCTTCTCCTGGCAAAACTAAACACACCAATTCCTTCAGACCACTTTAGAATAGTTTGGGGCATTTAAAGGAGGCAGATAATTCAGCTTTACTTCATATGAAGGTAATTGTCTTAGTTTTTCACTGCTATGAAGAGACACCATGACCAAGGCAACTTTTATAAAGGAAAACATTTAATTGGGGCTGGCTGACAGTTTCAGAGGTTTAGTCCATTATCATCATGGCAGGAAGCATGGCGGCATGCAGGCTGACATGGTGCTGGAGAAGGAGCTGAGAGTTCTACATCTTGGTCCACAGGCAGCAAGAATTGAACTGGCTGAGACCTCAAAGCCCACCCCCACAGTGATACCTTTCCTCCAGCAAGGCCACACCTCCTAATAGTGCCACTAATAGAGCCAAGCATTTAAACAAATGAGTCTATGGAGGCAGTTCCTATTGAAACCATCACCCTAGTACTACTTGTCAGAACAAGAGGGCAAATATATACCTAACATCTGTGCCACTGTCTTAGACAATTACTTGTGCTACTAAGGCACAAAGAAAAAGACTCTCCAATCCCTGAGTTCACTCAAAAACATAAGGAGTTACATCCTGGAATGCACTTGCTACACAGATACTAGGCATAAGAGGTGACAGGGAAGCTGCTAAAGGCCACAACAAAAAAAGTATTTTGAAATAAAGAGCATTGGTTCCAGAGGCTTCTTTGCCTTTGCTGAAGTTACTCAGAGGAATCTATATTGTTAGAACAGAGTTAAGTTGGAAAGTTCTGGCTAGGAAAACCTTTTGTGGCTTTTTATTACCAGTATGCATGCAAAACGTTGTGTGTGTTTGTGTGTGTGTGTGTGTGTGTGTGTGTGTGTGTGTGTGTGTGTGTCCATGTATTATGGTGCCATGACAACACTTCACAGGCCTTAAAGAAGTGATTTTCTGTGAATTTAAGGCCAGCGTGGTCTAAGCCACTTAATGATATGGCAAAAACATAAATAAAAATAAATTAAAAGAATACAGTTAGTTTTGGTATCTACTTACATTTGAACAAAATGTGCTTTTGCTTCATTGTGCTTTAAAAGCAAAATACTGAACCAATATTCTGAAGAGCTGATTCAGGGAAGGTTAAAAATAGTTACTATATCACTACTGCCTGCTTTGATAGAATAAGGATTTGGTAAGGAACAAGACTGCATTCATTTTTTTATTAGACAAAAGTTTGCTCTAAGGAGCAAAACCTCTGTGAGTGGAGTGCTGACTTAACATGTACAAGGCCTTGGGTTCAACTCCAAGCGCTATAAAATGGAAGGAGGGAACTGGGAGGCTAGGGAAGGAGGGGAGAAGGAACAAAACTAAACTCTCATGTCAGATCCCTTCTACCCTTTTAAAAAACATGTTTCTGTAGCTCTTCTGTCTAAATTTGGCATAGCTGTCTAAGTGTGTCTTAATACTTAATTTAATGTAATTAGAAAATAAAATTACAGATATTTTAGTAATGATGTAAAGATGGTATTAGTTGAAGACATAAGATTCATGCTTACCTGCTGTTAAAAAACTGTTGATAGACCAAAACTAAGGCTATAACAGCCTAAGTTTGAGTATCTGGCATATAATTGATGCTCAGAAAATGTTCATTTAATTAAGAAGTGTGTGAATAGATACAAGAGAAAATCATTAGCAGCTTCTTTTGTTCTACAAGTGAAATATTAACACATGTTGTCTTGCCTTCAGCACTTTATAGTCTGTTACTTTAAAGTTATGGTAACGGGTTTATTGTGCTGGTCACTCTAAACAAATGCCCAGTTATATCTAGCTATTCTAGAGACTCAATAAGGTTTGATTTAGCTTAAGTCCCTTAGATGTTAAGCAACTTAAGTTGACATTTGTATCTTTATATCATTTGAATTCAAAGCAGTATTTTTTAAACAGCATTATATAACTACGTAGAATACGGCCCCTCAATTTGAAATCATGCTACAGCAAGGAATCACTCTGTGATATGAGCGAATGACTTAGCCTCTCCAAGTATCGTTGTTTGTATGTCTAATACAAGGAAAATCATCCTATGCTTATAATAAAATAGTCTTAGACATTAAATGAGATTAGGCACATAAAGTTCTAAGCCTGAGTTCACTCCCTAAAACCTTTAGGATTCATCATTATCTTAGTGGAGTAGCTGGTTGACTTTGCCAGTGGCCTTTCCAAACTTAGATTTTCCTCAGAGCAAGGACTTCTTCCTTGTTGGGCCTCCATTACAAAGCAGGCACTTACCAAGTCATCGCAGTGAATGATGTGGGCAGTTTTCTAAAACCATGAAGTTGTTTTCTAGAAGACTAAACTTTATACTGTAGAGGTTACCTGAGCAGATTTTGGATGTCACTTTAGATAACTTTAGAGAAGACCCAGATGGGATCCTCGGATTCAAATTTGAGTGTTGCAGCCAAAATAATTCCAAAAAACTCTCCTGCTTTTCTTACAAGATGGTAAAAATTATTCCCTGGCCAAGTACTAAAACTTGAGTATCAGCATTTGAGAAAGTAACTTTTTCATCAACTGAGGACCTAGTTGTTTTTTTTTATAACTCCTTTGCTTTAAATAAATACTGTACATGAAAAAATTATACCATTATATACTAGCTTTTGTAATTTCTAGAGGAAGATGACACTAGGGAACTGAATGTGAATATGGAGAAATGAACAAATAAGAGGAGTCTGAAGAGATAGAGAGCAGGTAGGGTAAGTGAGTACTTTACAAATGAAAGCAGATGTGTGAAATTACAAGCTGTCAGATCACCAATGGAAATGAAGATGATAAAGTAGTTCCTTACATAGTTTATAATTATTCATTCTGCACAGTCTACTTTCCTTTCTATAGTATTCAGGTGAGGGAGCACGGTAGAATGTTTCATCAAGAAGTGGCTTTTCCAGCAGCAGAAAAAAAAATTGAAGAATCAAGGTCTTTCTGATTATAATTAATATTTTATTTGTCTTACTTCCTTTGTTTTCCTGTGGGACATTTTTCAGTAACTGGTTAATGAACAACTCTAGGAGGTTGTAGCTGTAAAGTGCCCTCACAGTCAGTGTTGCTGAGGCAGCTGTTGGCTCACAAAACAAGTGTCATTAATGGGCCCAACTGTGATTACAGTACCGATAGATTACCAAGAAATAGAATAGTTTACACAGACCTGTCTTTAAAAGATGTATTTAATAATTGTACCCATAATTATGATTGATTTGAAAATAAAAGTGTTAAATGACAGTCTGCAGAATACAAGCAGATGATGGAAGATTTTCACTTATTTTCCTCAAAACAAAACAAAACAAAAAAACCCACCCTGTATAGATACTCTCTCTCTTCAAATTTATTTTTACTTTTAGAAAAACAAATAACCAAAGAAAATTGTAATTTTGAATTTTGAATTGTGTGATACATATATAAAAGAAGCATAATAACCAAGATGAGTATACTATTTTATTAGAATTTTTAATTGCTTCCCAGTTTCAAGGTGTTTCTTTGAAATTACACGGTAATTTCTCAGCAGCAAAACTAACGATAGCCACATAAATGTCAACAAATGTGCATACATCTAAGAAATGTGTTTAATGTTGCAAATACCATGTCTGAGTCTGCACTTCTTCCTTCCACCGCTCTTGTGGGTAGTGTTAAATTGTAGCTGAAATGCACTGATTCAGAGGGCATTTGGTGAAGATCTCTTCTCAGGACAATCTTGTAACCAATCACCTAAATTATTGCATCACGTGCTTTGGCTCTCAGTTATTTTCTTAGATTCATCGTAATGCATATATTCTAAACAGTATTGTGTCTAAATCCATTTTTCCTTTTATTTAGTGATTTCTAGTAACTACCAGACCTGTCTTGGCCTTCTGATGCATTATCCAATCATCGGAGACATACACTCACTGATACTTAAGGCTCTCTTCCTTAGAGACCCAAAGGTAAGCTTTCTTGGGGGAGAGGTGCATAATTTTACATTGTTTCAAGAATCCAGGTCTCCATCTGACTTGTTCTTAATGATGGTTAAAAGTTGTAAGCCAAAGTTCAAATACTCATTAGCCAGTATGTTAGCAAGTGAATACAGTGGACCTAGTCCTGAGAAACTACACTCCAGAAAATGCCCAGTTTCCTCAGTGGGTTGTCTTGACCTCCTTCCTGCCTATCTGTTAGCTTAAGAAAATACTTAAGGTGAAATCTTAGGGTCCTTTTTATTTGCAGTTCCCTGATGACTAAGGATTTTGAGCATTTCTTTAAGTCTTTCTCTGCCATTCAGTATTCCTCTATTGAGAATTCTCTGTTTAGCCCTGTATACCATTTTTTAAGGGATTACTTGATTTGTTGCTGTTTGACTTCTTGAGTTCTTTATGTATTCTGGATAGTAGCTCTCTGTCAGATATAGGGTTGGTGAAGATCCTTTCCCATTCTGTAGGCAGTCGTTTTGTTCTGATGACAGTGTTCTTTGCTTTACAGAAGCTTTTCAGTTTCATGATTTCCCATTTATTGATTGTTGCTCTTAGAGCCTGTGTTGTTGGTGTTCTGTTCAGGAAGTTGTCTCCTCTGCCAGTGTGTTCTAGGCTCTTCCCCACTTTTTCTTCTAACCAAAATAGTGGGTCTGGTTTTATATTGAGGTTTTTGATCCACTTGGGCTTTAGTTTTGTGAAGGATAATTAATGTGGATCTATTTGCATTTTTCTACATGGAGACATCCAGTTGGACCAGCACCATTTGTTTGTTGAAGATGCCGTCTTTTTCCATTGTATGGTTTGGCTTCTTTGTCAAAATTCAAGTATCCATAGGTGTATAGGTTAATCTTTGGGTCTTCTATTTGATTCCATTGATCCACCATTCTGTTTCTATGCCTATACCATGTACTATTGCTCTGTAGTACAGCTTGAGGTCAGGGATGGAGATACCTCCAGAGGATCTGTTGTTGTACAGGATTGTTTTAGCAATTCTGGGTCTGGGCAAAGGGGTCTTTCCTGAGATTGATATTCCAACCGTGGACCATACATGGAGATAACCTAGAACTTGTGCACATCATGGCAGCTCAGTATACAAGTGGGTTTCCTAGTAATGGGAACAGGGACTGTCTCTGACATGAACTCAGTGACTGGCTCTTTGATCACCTCTCCCTGAGGGAGTAGCAGCCTTACCAGGCCACAGAAGAAGACAATGCAGCCAGTCCTGATGAGATTTGATAGGCTGGGATCAGAGGGAAGTGTAGCAGGACCTCTCCTATCAGTGGACTGGGGAGGGGCATGGGAGGAGAAGAGGGAAGGCAGGATTGGGAAGGGAGGAGGGAGGGGGCTACAACTGGGATACAAAGTGAATAAACTGTGATTAATTAATTTAAAAATAAACTTTTTTAAAAAAATTAAATACTTGCACAACTATTTCTTATACCAGACTTCACTATCTTTAATGCCTATCACAGGGGATGACTTGTTCAAAAAGGGCTTCTGGGACCATATGAAAAAAGAGCTACTAAGGACTAGGCCTATTAGAATTTATCGGTGAATTATGATATATCATATATATATATATGATATGATATTTCCATATATTATTCTACTTTATAGCTTAAAAATCACCTAATAAAAGACTCTGACAGACTTTAAAACTGGTTTCTTTGAGTATAAAGCAATTCATTAAAATTTCCTTCATACTTCACAGAAAAAGTGTGCTCTTTTACAACTAATGTTATATTTCTTCAAAATAAGAACATTTAATTATATAAAAAAAAATTGTGAATCCTTGCTGTTTTTGAGCCAAACGAAAATACTGGATGAAGAGTAAGAGAGGAAGCTTTAGATACAAGTATCAGAATGCCAGGCATTGGATGGTAATCCCAGCCTTTGGCTCCTTGGAAACTCTCCCAACAGTCATGTTGGCAGTTGTCAAACTGTCTCTGAGTCAGTCAGTCTGTCTGTGAGTTCTGTTGCCAAGCTCTGCCTGTTCATCTTTAGCGTACAAATTTAATAGAAATCTTCTCTTGTTGATGACTTAAACTTAACTTTAAGCACATTTTCTATTATATGACTGACAATTTTCTTATCTGCTTTTTATAGAAATACTAGTTTTTGTAGTATTTCTGTTATACAGAGCAATTTTTCTTTTTTAATTCTTATTTTTTATAATTTATTCATTTTATATCCCGGCTATAGCCCTTCCCTTATATCCTCCTGGTCTCATCCTCGCTGTCTCTTCCCCCTATCCTCTTCCCCTAGTCCACTGAAAGGGGGAGTCCTCCTCCTTTGCCATCTGACCCGAGCTTATCAACTCTCATCAGGATGGCCTGGATACTCTTCCTCTGTAGCCTGGCAAAGCCACATCGCCAGGGGGAAGTGATCAAAGAGCCAGACCAAGTTCATGCCAGAGACATTCTCTGCTCCCCATACTCAGGAACCCACGTGGAGACTGAGCTGCCTGTCTGCTACATCTGATCAAGGGGTCTAGGTCCTCTCCATGCGTGGTCCTTGGTGCATGAGCATCTGCAGGAACCCCGAGCCCAGATTTGTCAGCTTTCTTGGTCTCCTTGTAATGCTCCTGTCCCCTCTGGGTCCTTCTATCCTCGCCCCCTACACACACTGCTCCCTGCTTCTTCCATAGGACTCTCTACACTGCCCAAAGCTTAGCAGAGAGTCTCTGCATCTGCTTTAATCCCCTGTTGGGAGGAGCCTTTCAGAGGACCTCTATGTTAGGCTCCCTTGCTGTTCCTTCTCTTCCACTGCTTCTGGTGTCTATTCTGTTTGCCCTTCTGAATGAGATTAAACATTCTCTCTAGAGTCCTGCCTGTTGTTTAGCTTCTTTAGGTCTGTAGATTGTAGTATGATTATCCTATATTATGTGACTAATATCTGCTTGTAAGTGAGCATACACCATGTGTGTCTTTCTGCTCCTGGGTTACCTCACTTAGGGTGATCTTTTCTAGTTTCATCCGTTTGCCTGCATATTTCATGATTCCCTTGTTTTTAATGGCTGAGTAGTATTCAATTGTGGAAATGTGTCACAATTTCTGTATCCATTCTTTGCATAAGGGACATCTAGGTTGTTTCTAGATTCTGTCTATTATGAATAAACTAGGAATATAGTTGAGCAGATATCCTTGTTGAATGGTGGATCATCTTTTGGATATATTCCCAGGAGTGGTATTGAGGTAACTCTATTCCCAATTTTCTGAGAAATCTCCAGATTGATTTCCAAAGTGGTTATATAAGTTTCCACTCCTACCAGCAATGGAGGAGGGTTCTCCTTTCTCCACATACTTGCCAGCATGTGTTGTCACTTGAGTTTTTGATGTAGGCCATTCTGATCGGTGTAAGATGGCATCTCAGGGTCGTTTTGATTTGCATTTTCCTGATGACTGAGGATGTTGAGCATTTCTTTAAGTGTTTCTCCACCACTCAGTATTCCTTGGTTGAGAATTCTGTGCTTAGCTCTGTACTACATTTTTTTAATTGGATTGTATCCTTTGTTGTTGTCTAATTTATTGAGTGCTTCATATATTCTCGATATTAGCCCTCTGTTGGAGGTAGGGGTAGTGAAGATCTGTTCCCAGTCTGTATGTTTGGTTTTTTTGTTCTGTTGATAGTGTCCTTTGCATTACAGAAACTTCTCAGTTTCGTGCGGTTCATTAATTAATTGTTGATCTTAGAGCCTGAGCTGTTGGTGTTGTATTCAGGAAGTTTTCTCTTGTGCCAATAAGTTCGTGGCTCTTCCCCACTTTTTCTTGCAACAGATTTAGTGTGTCTGGTTTTATGTTGAGGTCATTGATCCACTTGGACTTTTATTTGTGCAGGGTGTTATATATGGGTCAATTGGCATTTTTCTACATGTGGACATCCAGTTAGACCAGCACTATTTGTTGAAGATGCGATCTTTTTTCTTTTGTATGGTTTTGGCATCTTTGTAAAAAATCAGGTGTCTGTAGGTATATATATTTATTTCTGGATCTTTGATTGATCATTGATCATCCAGTCTATTTCTATGCCAGTATGATGCAGTTTTTATTACTGTTGCTTTATAGCTTAAGATCAGGATAGAGATATCTCCAGAAGTTCTTTTATTGTACAGGACTGTTTTAGCTATTCTGCATTTTGTTTTGTTTTGTTTATTTTGTTTTGTTCTTCTTTTGGAGTTGAGAGTTGTTCTTTCTAGGTATAAAGAATTGTGTTGGTATTTTGATAGGAATTGCATTGAATGTGTAGATTGCTTTTGGTAGGATGGACATTTTTACTATGTTTATCTTATGGATCCAGGAGCATGGGTATCTTTCCAGCTTCTGATATCTTCTTCAATTTATTTTTTTCAGAGACAAGAAATTTTTTCTTACAAGTCTTTCACTTGTTTGATTAGAGTTACGCCAAGATACATAAAATTTTTTTTTGTGGCTATTGTAAAGGGTGTTGTTTCCCTAATTTCTTTCCTAGCCCTTTTGTCTTTTGTATAAAGGAGGGCTACTGATCTCTTTGAGTTAATTTTGGATCCAGCCATTTTGCTGAAGGTATTTATCTTTTTATTGGTGAGTTTAGTCAATTGATGTTGGGCAAGATTAATGACCAGTGACTGTTAGTTCCTTTTATTTTGATATTGGTTGTGGTAGTGTGTTGTGTGCTTGTCTACTTTTAGTTTTACTGTAGTTAACTACTGGTAGTTAGCCTTCTTTGGTTATATTTTTCCTTGTAGTGTCTTGTATAGGGCTGGATTTGTGGGTAGATACTGTTTAATTTGTTTTTGTCGTTGAATATCTTGTTTTCTCCATCTATGATGAGAGTTTTGCTGGGCATAGTAGTCTGGCTTGACATTTGTGTTATCTTAGGGTCTGCATGGCATCAGTCCACAACCTTCTGGCTTTCATAGTCTCTGTTGAGAAGTCAGGTGTGATTCTGATAGGTTTGCCATTCTATGTTACTTGGCCTTTTTCCTCTTGCAGCTTTTAATA